GCTGGCCTTTAACTTTCTTCATAGTCCAGGTAGGTTTGAACTTTCAATTATCCTGTATCAGTCTCCCAGGAAGCTGAGATTACATGTCAGCAGCACCGAGCCTTAAAGATGAAAGTATATTATGGTAAACAATGTGAAAGAAATGATATGGTCTTTTAATATATTCATTGCCAATGTTGGCAGGGGTCATCTGATAGCTAAAGGCTGGGGTGGGGTTTTTTATATGTGTGTTTTCTGAATTATATATTCTGATTCATAGAATAAACACTTTATTTTCCTCTTTAAAAAAAAAATGTGACATCTAGCCTATCTATGAACTGTTGGAGCATGTGAAAGGGCAAGTCCTCCAGATCCAAGTTACGGGATCTCCATGACACAGGATACCTAAGAGGAGTCCCAGGAAGAATCCAGTATTGATGGTGTAGCAGAGCCAGAGACCTCGAACCAGACCAGTGACTCATTGCAGTGAACATTTGCAAGTAAAGCTGTTTGGATAAAACGGTATTGATGTGTGACATAGCTTGACACATTGTAGTTTTCATAGCGAGTTGGGGTTTTGTTTGTTTGTTTGTTTTTGTTTAAGTGTAAGGACAGACAGGGGTGGATATGAAGTAATGGGGAGCTGAGTGGGCTTGAGTGTATGATGTGAAATTAACGAAGAATAAGTAAAAAGTTAAAAAATAAAAGGATTCTTTTTCTGTGTGTGTGTGTGTGTGTGTGTGTGTGTGTGTGTGTGTGTGTACACCTTCAGGATCCCACAAAAGCCAGAAGAGACTTCAATTCCCTCGGAACTGGATTACAGACAGTTGTAAGCCATCATGTGGGTTCTGGGAAATGATCCTAGGTCCTCTGCAAAAGCAGTGCTTTTAAGTGCTGAGATATCTCTCTATCCAATAAAACTATAGGTTTACAATAAAAATCAATTGCAGTTTTAATTATTAATCTTTTCCCAGGGCTAAGGAGATGATGGCCCTGTTGAAAACTGCTTGCCTTGCAAGCAAGAGAACCTGAGTTGAATCTGCAGATTCCACATAAAAAAGTCAAACATGGTAGTAATTCTTATAATACAAACATGGTGTGGGGGTATGGATGGGGGTATACTGGGGACAGGAATCTTGGGGCCTGCTAGCTGGCCAGTCTAGCCTTTGTAGTAAGTTGCAGGCCAAAGACAGATGCTATTTCAAAATAATATGATGTCATTTCAGATAAAAGATATCTGAGATTGTCACGTGTCTCTACCTGCCAATAAAGCAGTACTTCCATCCCACCCCACAAAGACACAAACAAAAAACAATAATGGTATTTTTTTCTACAATCTGGTAAGAGTTTTGGTTTTTAGTGTTGTCCTGTCAAACTAAAGAAACAACTAAGCATATTTTCTCTTTTTAAACGCTGAGGAGAGTCCTACTAAAGAGGCCATCTGTGATTTGGAGAATCTACGAGTTACTGAGGGGCTGCTGAGGCGCAGAACATTCCTCTGTTATTAATGGAGGGACACATGGAGATAGGGTCGCTCAGCTGAGAAGATCAAGAGGCAGCGGAGGGACACAAATCGAGATGAACAGCAGCTGACTCGGCACAACTGTTAAATGACTTTGCAAAAGACCTGTCACAGCGGATGAACAGCACCTCCAGAGGAAGCCACTCTGCATCCAACTCTGCCTTGCACACGGTTATTTCCAGGGAGAAGATTGAGAGGGAGGAGATAGGAAGAGAGACAGAAAGAAGATCAAAAGATGCTTTAAGGAGTCGGCAGACATTTTTTTTAAATGAGCAACAGAGAGGAAGAAGACATAAAAGAAAACAGGAAGCAAAGAACATCCCCGCTTGATTTCACTGTTTCCACCTCTCCTCCACTCCTGAGAGGCAGCAAGTCGGGGGATCAGTCAGCACTCTAATTGTTTTTATAGTAAATGAGGCATGAAACCTATTGTCAGAAAACACGGTGTCCATGTACAGCCACACACTTTCTTCCCAGCAGGTCGTCCCCAGGGGTTAATATCTTTGAGGAAGCTGAAGGCTCAAATACAGTATGCCTGCATTTCTTTAAAGCAGACATTTGGAAAAGAGCAACCTTTCTCCTTTTCATTTTTAGAATATGACAACAGAGTCTTTGTAAAAGGTAGTAGAAGCACTATTATACACAAAGAAGGGGCAGAGTGTGAGAAGTTTGTCACAGCTTTAAAACATACTTTAAATCTTTACTATATACTAAGAGAAGCTAGGGATATGGCTTAGTGCCTAAGAACATTTGCACTACCAACATTTGTACTTGAGTTCAAATCCCCAGTGCCCATGTTTTTTACATGGCACTTTTACATCTTTTTGACAGATGTGACCTAAAGTTCCAGAGCACTGGGAGACAGAGATGGGAGGATCACTGGAGCATTCTGGCTGCCAGACAAGTAGATTCAGAGACCATGAGTCAAGGGAGTAATGGGCATCAAATGGAATCCTTGGCCTCTGCACACATGTATAGGGATGTGCATGCCTACATGCATGTGTACATACACCATATACATGGATATGTAAAATTATTCTAAATAACATATCAATAAAAAGAAAATATATGGAGAGCTGTTGACAAGCATTATTGTATGCTTGGTATATGTATAAAATATAAACTACTTGTACTAGGTAAATTCCTAGGATTTCATGTTGATTAGTGTATTTCTTTTTTCCTTTGTTTTATTGAAGAAAAATAAAAGACAGAATCCCAATACTGAAAAATTGAAGTAGAAACAAAGTCCCACCCATAAAGAAGAAGCCATTTGGAATTGATACCTGCTGGGAGAGGGTAATAAGCATCTCCAATGGAGAGTTCCTGGATATATCAACCACAATCCAGGGTGTGCCTGAAGCTTAGCAGTATGTGGCCAACATAAAATGAACTCCATGTTTGTGTGTGTGCACACTGTTTGTTTTTAGTAGTTTTAATCAACTATAACTGATTATTATTGTATTTCTTGATTTAACTCTATTCACCAGATAGAAAGTTACCAAGTGCACTCAAACACCTATCTCTGGTTTCAAGCCAGCAGATTTTATTTTATTAGCTTCCCTTCTGTCAGAGAGTCTGGATTTGTTTTCTCGGATATATGGGTGTCAAGTAACTTTCAGGCTGATTTTTCCCATGTCAAGTAGTACCAGGCCCTTTGAGCAGGAACCAAAGTCTCTTTTGACCAATGACTTCACAAAATAGATATTGTGATGAAGAGTCAAACTGGAAGAGATAGTTTCCTGATTGGTTTATACCAAACATATATATCCAATTTAATTCAAATATATTCCAAACAAGTATGTTAATCACGCCCTTTGTTCAGCCATCCTGTTCTTAGGTTCCTGAGTCAGTCTAAACAGAGAAAGAAGTCAGAAGACAGTGTCTAACCTCAGTATCTTTGGACTAATGACAGCTGAAAACTGATAGTGGTATGGTGTGTGTGTGTGTGCGCGCATTACAGCTATTTTCTTATGAGATCCTGCATAGCACCCGTTGTATTTGAAGCCTGACACTGAATTCTTTAGACTTGAATTAGAAAAGGCATTTCTTTGATAGATTTCTTCTTGTTCTCGTTTACAGGCAACTAATCCTTACTGCATTGGATCAAATAGACGGGCACAATCAATTCAGGGAAAGCAAGCAATGCCAGTTCTGCTCAATCTTCCCTCAATGAGCAGCTGAGGGTGGAGGGGAGAGAAAGGTAAGGAAGAAGATTCATCCATGTCCCCACCGAAGATGGCTCAGCAAAGGAAAAGATGAGGAGACAATTGGAAATAAAAATAGAGGCAGACGAATACACTTGCCAGAGGGGGAGTCTGAAAACTGAGATAAAGTCAAACAGGCAAAGAGTTTTGTTGCTGAAATACATGGAAGAAAGAATGTTCAGACGGAAGTAGTGATGCCCAAATGAAGATAAAGGGTGGCACTCTCTCCTGGTCAGGGGGCTGACACTGGATTAACTAAAGTCTCTGTTCTTTGAGTTCTATATTACTCTGTGATGAGTAAGTTAATTATTGTATTTAGGTAATTAAGTCCCAGAGAAATGGAGGCTTTCCAAAGTTGTTTTCATGTACACTACTAGATCTTTTTAGGCTTGACTGACCATTTGCTGAGCTGCCACAGTGAAGCTGCGTTTTAACTGTGACATGCAGAAAACTAATGAAAATTAGCTGGAAATGAAAGTCTTCTACATATGAACACTTTTGCCTCTGCTGTTGGAGGTAAAGCTCATGGTTATATGCTTCCTCATTTACCAGTATACAAAGAATCCTACATAGGTTCCATTGCTCAAAGTGCAGTCTAGGATTTACCCTCTCTGGGGCTTGTGATGACTCCTAGTCCTCTGGCCTTTTACATGATATCATTTCTCTGCTTATTTTCCCCAAATTTATTCTGCTCAAGATATAAAGTATTTGTCTACAGCAAAGTGCATCAAAAAGCTCATTTGCATAATGGTTATAAACCCCTTGAATCATTACTGATGCTCAGGTCTCAGACATCCAGCCATTCTCTGCCATGTAAAGTAATTTCTCTTGACCAATAATAAACCATAATCATCTTCTAGCCCAGAATGACAGTTTGGAAAAGAGACAATTGTACCAAGCATCAAGATATCAACAGTGAGACACTTCTCTATTTTTATATGGAGCAATAGCTCAAAAATATTACATGCATAAGAACGTAGCATGTGGAAAACAGTCTTACTTTGTGTAAGACTGTAGCACCAAGCTTCAGCTCCATTGTCATAAGCAATAAGTATTAATTATATATTTATAAATATGTAAAATTTTTATTTACATGTGTGAACAAGGGGTAACCTCTCCACATTTTTTGTATTTGTGCAGTTGACAAGTTGGCTTTCCTCACAAGACAGTTGAACCTACCTTCATTTGGTAGCTCATCCTTGTTTTCTGTCTATCAAGGACCTATTGATCCACTTCACCAGGACACTTGTTCTAAAAATACCCGAGTTATCCTTGATTCCCGGTAAGCATCTTACCGCTGGAGGTAGTGTTCCAGAACTTCTGCATTCAGTAGAGTTGAAGCTTGAGCCAAGAGCTTATGGCTACAGCTTGCAGATTTGAGTTCCAAGATGAGCAGACCCAAGCAGTACATAGCTCCCATTTCTTCCAGCTCGCCAGTACCAAACTGTAGACCCTGCCAATTAAACAAAGCAATCAACAGTGACTACTCAATGGGAATCAAATAGTGACATTTTCAGATTAAGAGGAGACACTCTAGATATATATCTATCACAGATATTGAGGATTTATAGTGCTTGTCAGTCACTTTCCAAAACTGGGTTTTCTGAACTTTTGCTGCATGAACATTCTGCATTTCTTCATTTCCTGACAGGATAGCAAGCTGAAGGAGAAGATAAAGGTTATGAGTGGCAAAGGATGCCACCCCATTCCTTTGCAATGAAATCTACCAATCTTCCACCTGTATTTTGAAAAAGAGTTTATTGTGGAAACAAAGATATCCTCCTCATCATCATCATCATCTTTTTAGGAGATATGCGATTTGTCATTAATTTAAACTATGGCAAAGAAGAGGGGGGTCCTTCACATATAATTACTGAAACTGCAAAATAAACTACACACTTCCCTCAAACTGTCTCTGTCCGAAGATAATATATAAAAGCAAAGCTAAGGGTAGTACTCTATGTTATAGCTCCGAAGCAGAGATGAGCACACTGACCACGTGTAATAGAATATGCTTGTTATATATCACTTGGGAGTATGAGACAGGAGGATTATAAGTTGCAAACTAACCTGGACTACTTAGTGAAACCTGAGATGGAATAAGAGAAGGAGGTAGAAAGAGAAAAGCAGATGATAGCAATCGTCACGACCTTTTCGGACACCTACTCAATGCCAGTAAGTGTCCAGAGCATCTAACAGACTCACAGACACCATGGTAAGCTATTTCTCAACCAAAGTCCTATGAGGTAATTATTTTCTCTAATCCACAGAGAAGTATATTCAGACAAATAAAACCAAGGAGCTTATTCAAGGTCTCATTGCTAGTAAGTAGCAGAGAGCAGCAATGAACTTTGCCTTCACTATTGCCCATGAAATCTGATATGCAAATTCGGACAGTTACACAGAAAGGTAGAGCATGTGCTTTTCAGAATTAGACTTAAATCATAGTTTCACTATTTTCTGATCATGTTATGTGGGGTACTGAACTTTTACTACTTGAATTTCTCATCTGTAAAATGGGATTATCTCTCCTCTAGATACCTAAAGCATGGTAAATTCCATCACTTTTTATACCTGATGAGGAAATGTTCCAGAGTCCCTGGAATATAAACAGAGGTTAGCCCAGATTCTCTTCCTCTTTTGCAAAAATAAGGTTTAATGAGATAGAGTTTAGAACAGCCCTGGGACCTTCATATAAAACCTAAGTAAAAATAATTAAAAATTTGATTTTTTAAAATAAAATTATATTTTGATCATATCATATTTTACTAGGATATAATAATTGCATGAAGTAGCTGGTTTCATTCAATGTATTATAATATAGTACATTACAATTATGACAAATAATTATAAAATAATAAGTAATTTATTATATACTTCGATACAACTGAAGGAAATTTTTGAATCTTACCAGCACAAGAAAAATGACACATGTTTGATGTGAGAGATATAATAATTACTCTGCTTAATTATTAGACTTTATACCCATGTACACACTGCTTAATCATTAGACATTATATGCATCCAGTGCAGTTCCCCAAAATAGGGACAATTACTATGACAATTAAAATTAAAATGTATGATTTTCTATCCAAATAAAAGTGCTGTTATTCTAAAGAACAAAGATAGGGCAGAATTGATTCTTAAGAACTGCTTTTAAACATGCCAAGGGAAACAAAAAACAAAAAACAAAACTTGATATTGGGAAGCACCAAGCCTCATGGGAGACTTCCAAGGTAAAAGCAGCCCAGTGTGTAGAAAGTCTCAAGTTGATTTGAGCTGCTTGAAAATTGGATTTTCTGCTTGTTTTGACACCTGTTTCCTCAAGAAAGGAGACATTACATCAGAGCTGAAGGAAGTAAGTTCCTCTGTAAACAGCCGCAATACAAGGAGAAGACAGATGTTGAACAAATTGCTTTTATTTCCTCCTCAAGTCCACAGGAGGAAAAAAAAGACCACTTTTTAAAGAGATAGAGAGAAAAAAAACAGAGCTCATTCCTATGCACAGAGGAATCTATCTGACTCTTTGCCTGGCTATATGTAGACTCTTTTCTTCCTTGGAGATTAATGACTCTGGGTCAGAGGAAAGAAAGTAAAGGTCACATCCAACCAGTGACCTTCCTCATTTCTGTAACTTAGGAGGGTCTACTAGAATAAAACAACAACAACAACAACAACAACAACAACAAAACTCCAGCCTTCTGGTCCTAGGCACACCACTTACACATGGAAATCCCAGCTTCTGGCTAGGCATATAGCTGAATAAGCACTGTTGGAAACACATCTACTAGCATGCCCAGTGTTGATGGGCTGGGGACCGTACTTTCACACAGGCCTGCTTCTATACAGTTGTAGCTGGAGAGATAGCATTTATAACATGAAAATAGATTCTATTTCAGGTGCAGGCCCACTTATTCTGGGCAACACTTGGTGTCATAAAAACATTAGTTCAGAAAACTCCTCAAAGAACTCATATCATTTTATTGACTGGGAGACTTGGGAGAGTCTGCGGCTTCATTTTGTTCTCTTCTATTGATTTTTTTCTTTCCTATTTTATTTTTATTTTCATTCTCACACAGTATTAACAATATTTGTTTATATGAACGATCTCGTTCTCACATTCACATCCTGGTGTAGAAATAAATCTTCAAGAGGAAGGACAGAGCAGTATCTCTTATTTAACTTTATTTCTCAGGCACAGAATATACACATATACATGCTACACTGTCCCTGCCTAGTAATCGAATAAACAAGACCTCTTCCTGAGTCAACATGAAGATGTCTTTTTGGACTCTTTCTTAGGCACACATAGCACTCATCATGTGGACTTTGACTTCTATGGGTAGAGAATTCATAAATGCCTTCAAATTCTGTTCTCCCACTGTCATACTCATGGGTATGATGTGTAAAACATCACCTAACTGAGCGTGGTCTCACAGTAATAAGTATATAAATAAAGCTATAGATGAATAGTTTACAAGTGAGAGCCAATAAAATAGAAACCAACTTTTTCCCCTAACCGTTGATTAGCTGCCCGATAGAAAAAGTCAAGCTATGTTGCCTTCAGTAAGTAAGATTTTGCTTTGTATAGTTCGTAAATGTAGTGAATGTGAGAAGACTTTTGGCATTATTTCAACATCTAAAAGAAGAAATCAATCATCTGTCTTTCTTCGCGTTGTCTTACTTTAGAATATGGCTGCTGTAGCTCCATCCAGGATACTATCCAAATGAGGAAAAAATTCGGAGAGACATCACCAAAATGAATTTGCTTACATTTCACTCACCAGAACTGTGTCCTAGAGTCACCCCATGCTTTTGAACAGTCTTTACTAGATACTTTTACCTTATTCAGTCTCATAAAAGAGGAGAATAAGAGAATGAGTGTCAGGTTGAGTGAGAAAAACCATGTGCTCTACACTGATATTTTGGTATAATATTGCTAAAATATACAAGTAGTTGTTCACGATAGCAGTAAGTACACCTCACTGAAGCAACCATCAAATGTTTTCTACTGATAATCCCTCCCCCCAAACAATATCTGCAATAAAGAGTAAGTCCAAAAAAAGTAGTTCAAAAAAAAAACCCCATATAAATTTAAGTAGCATAAAGGCTAAAATAAAACAGTAAAATAATTACTAAGAAAAACATACATGAGAAAAATGTCATTTCCACTATTTTAACTAGACCTACCATTTACACCAGTAAATTAGTGCAAATATATTTAAGTTTATATATTTCTGACCTCCCTTTATACCCAAAGCTCCTAGATACCAAGATGTCTGTTGGATTGTAAATTGATTCATACCTTTAGGGAAATTACTCAATAACATTTGACATGATAATGTCACTTCAGGGAACTATTTCTAATGAACTGATTGAAAATAAAAGGGAAGCTATATGCATAAAAATGTAAATTACACCAATGTTATATATAATAATCAAAATTTGAGGGAAATAAAACCTAAATGTCTAATAAAGAAGGAATGACTCAGGAAACTTTAATGGAAGAAATCTGATAGAGTGTAATGGAGCCATTAAACGGATAATTATAACAACCATTTAGCAATATGGAAAATGCTCATGACTTAATGATAAAATAAAGCCAGAGACAAATTATGCAATGATACAATTTATCCTGAAGAGTTAACAGTGATGAGAGGTGCATACCCAGATTCCTGGGCTACACACTCAGTCAGGCTTTATTGCTATGATCTTTCAGTAAAATGCAGATATTTAGAAGAAAGGGAGCTTTCCAATGATATCTTGAAAATGTTTGCCTCCTAAAATTCTAAAAGAATTTTACTTCAAAGAACGATTGCTAAGGATAATAAAGTTTGTCAATAAATTGGAGGTAAATTTGCTTCAGACTTTTGGAAAATCTGTTAATTCTAGCCATTCTTAAGAAAATTTAGATATTCATTTCTTTCTTCAAGAATTCATTGATTCATTGAAAGAATCTTTCAATGACTCTAGAAAAGATAATATCATTGATATCCCTCTGAGATTTACCTTACCCCATTCTCTGACAAAAGATTTTATTATGACTTATTTTTTACAGTCCAGCTATTGCCCCTCTCCCAGTATCCCTCCCACAGTTATTCATCCTATTCCTTGTTTCCCTTGTCTCCAAGATGATGCTCCCCCACTAGACCTCCCCATTCCCTGGGGCCTCAAGTCTCTTGATGGTTAGGTGCAGCTTCTCCCACTAAGGCCAGACCAGGAAGTCCTCTGTTATACATGTTTAGGGCCTCATACCAGCTCCTGTATGATGCCTTGTTGGTGGATAAGTGTCTGAAAGATCTCAGGCGTCCAGATTAGTTGAGACTGCTGGTCTTCCTATGGGGGTGCCTTCCTCCTCAGCTTCTTCCAGCCTTTCCCTAACTCAACCACAGGGGTCTCCAACTTCAGTCCAATGGTTGGATGTCATTAGCTGCTTCTGTCTCAGTCAGTGGC